GCCCCCCCCCCTCCGGCGTCCCGCCCCAAAGGTCCCGTGGCCCCCTCCGGGGTTCCGTCCTGACCCCGGGCCCTGGCCGCCCTCGTGGTTCCGTGTCCCCTCCCACCTGTGTGTCAACACCCTCTGGGGTCCCCTGGCCTCCCCCCAGCCCTGATACTATGACCCCTTCCCCACCCCGAGGTCCTCAGTCCCTTTTTTTTCTTTCTTTCTTTCTTTTTTTTTTTTTAATAATTGATTGGCTGCCTCCTGGACGCCCCCTACTGGGCATCGAGCCTGCAACCCGGGCATGTGCCTTCCGTTGACCGGAATTGAACCTGGGACCCTTTGGCTCTATCCACTGAGCACACCGGCCAGGGCCACAACCCCTTTCAAGGAGGGGTGCCCAGCCCTGGCCGTGCAGGAAAAACCCCCTGAGCAGTAATGTCCTAATCCTCCCGCGTTCACCCTCACACCCCACCCCCCAGCCCTGCCCCACCCGCTGGCTCCCAGGACTCCTGGCTCCCACCCCGGTGGACCGTTCCTGTGCCGCCCTCTCCCTCACGTTCCCCTGGAGCGACTTCAGTGTGCGCCCCATTGCGACCCTCTGCTCTTGGACAGGGTTGCACATACTTGAAGGTGCACGGGGGGCCACTTGGGGGCGCGGTCCCGGTTCGATTCTGGTCAAGGGCACGCACCTCGGCTGCAGGCTCCTCCCCCGGCGGGGCGCGTGCAGGAGGCACCTAAGCCATGTGTTTCTCTCACGTTGATGTTCCTGTCTTTCCCTCTCTCTTCCACTCTCTAAAAATCAATGGAAAATTGTCCCCGGCTGAGGATTTAAAAAATGTTTTTTTAAAAAAAGCAGGCTCGGATTCAGGGCGGGGGAGGGCCTGGGATACTGCCTTTCTAATGGTCCCCAGGTCTTGTCAGCGCTGTGTCTGCAGGCCATTGGGCCAGGTTCTTAGAAGACAACTGTCCCGTTAGCCACGGAGCAGCCCTTGAAAGGCTAGACTTACTATGACAAAGGTATATAAAATGACTGGTGTTTTATTTTTTTTCATGGTGTGTTGAAACAATGGTTTGGATATACCAGGTTAAATACACCTTAAAATATCATCCTGTTTTGCCCTCGCCGGTTGGGCTCAGAGGATAGAACGTGGCCTGTGGGCTGAGGGGTTCGATTCCCGTCAAGGGCACTGGCCTGTAACCTCGGATGCAGGCTCCATCCCGGCCCTGGTCCGGGAGGCAACCAATCGATGGTGTGTCTCTCTCACATCAATGTTTCTCTGTCTCTCCCCCTCCCATGCACTCTCCCTAAAAATAAATAAATAAAAACCAATGGGAAAAATATCCTGGGGTGAGGATTAACAAAATATATATATACTAGAGGCCCAGTGCACAAATTCGTGCACTGGTGGGGTCAGGCTGGCCTGCCCCTGATTGGGGCAGATTGGGGGGATGGGGGGCGGGGCCCGCCACCCCGCCTGTCAAACTCCCAGTTGAGGGGACAATTTGCATTTTAGCCTTTTATTATATAGGATATCTAACTTGTTTGAACTGCATTGTGGCTATTAGAAATGTAGTCACATGTCAGTGTTGGCCTAGAGCAGTGATGGCGAACCTATGACACACTCATTTTTTTGGTTGATTTTTCTTTGTTAGATGGCATTTAAATATATAAAATAAATATAAAAAATATAAGTCTTTG